TGCTCTAACTTGCAAGAATTATTTTTTTAAAGCAAACATTTACACTAAAATAAGAATGTCTATACAATCAAAGAATGACTAGTTTCCAAGAGGCTGCCAAAGCAGTTTGGAGCTCCGCGCACATGGAAACAGTTGAGTAATTTGGCAAGTTTCTACAAACTGTTCTTCACAGGGAAAAGGACAGCTTTGAAAGAACACTTAATGGTTAATTTGAAAAATATTCTAACTATTACACTGTCACGTTCTTGAAAAGACTTCAGAGGACATGGAGATTACAGTGTTGGTCTTCCACCACAACAACGCTACCACAGGTAGTGGTTCCTTACAATCTCTCAACTTGGTGCCAACATATTCGAGAGATGATCTCATTCCTCAGTCCCATCGGGGTCTTTTATGTCAATGAATTACAACAATGCCCTTTCTCCACTGAGGAAGGAGAGCTAAATATGTGAAGAGGCTTTCTTGGGGGCTACTGCAGAACTACCAAACGCCCTCCAAAGACTTCCCAAAGTCCAAGTGGCTTCAAGAAAGACCATCAATATTCCTATGGCTGGCAGGAAGTGGATCAGCTAGCAGAAGGAGGATCATTTTTTCAGGAGTTCCGCCTTTTAAAAATTATAATTTTAAGCTGGTTATTTTTATATTTATGGGTAACTGTTCCAAATCTTCAAAAGAGGAGAGCAACGGATATGCGTTCAAATAAACAAATCATGGCGCAAGGCCCTCTTGAGCTCCAGGGAAAGAGAGTGCGAACAGTACTGGTGGACCAACCATTTGGGAACCTTCAGGCCTGATCCACCCACATGTTAAAAGTTTCCATTAACACTGCACAACATTTGTGATAGCCCACATATTTTGAACTAAATATGGGGTGTCAAATTAGTTTATAATTATCTTCTTGTGAGGCCATCCTATACCACTCACCTGGAAGTAAGTGCCATTGCACTCAACAGGAACTACTTCTGACTAACATTTTATTGCCCACTCTGATCTCTCAAGAAGTTTCCTTGATGAGGCAGGAGAGAAATGGGATGGAAGAAAAGTGAACGAATTAAGAAAGTGCAAGAAGGTGAGGATTACAAGTGGCAAGTACGAACTATTTTAAAGTTTTCTTTTTTTAAGTCATCTCTATCATGCCTGACTAGATTTTGAAGCAGAAGCAGAAGACTGGCTTGGGTTGGTCTACAAACTTTCATCAAGCGGCATCACCTGACAGGTCTCGAACAGACAGAACAGGTGAGCTCATTATCTCCAGACATGTACACATACATGTACTTATGCGCACACAATGCACAGGCAGACGCTCAGGAACAGATGGCCAGAGCGCCTCGTGTTCACTTGACCCAGAGCTCCCCCTAGAGCACAAAACAAAACCGCTAAAATGCTCCTCTTAATAAAACACGGTGCCGCTTCATATTGATTGATAAGAAAATTATATATTCTCATTTCTTATACATTCCAGCACTTCAGCTAATAAGCGGTTATTGTCAGCCATTGAGACCAAAAATAATTAGGACTCCTTCAAGAGCAGGACATGCTATTTGCTTTAATTTTGCACTGACAACCTATTTGAATCTGGAATGGAGTCTCCATTTCAAAGACAGAATTGGAAGTGGCCACAATCGCCTTGAAGCAACCAACTGGGCTCTTTGTACCCGCACCCCTGCATACAGATTTAGGAATTTCTGCAGACATTTTAATCTGGGATCATCCTTCCCCAATTGTCCTGGGGCACATACTGCAAATGGCTATTTGTCTCTACCTTGAAAAACAGCACGTGATGCAGCCGAATTGTCTACACCAGTCCAATATTTCTCTGGCTTCGAACTCCCATCTCGGCTTTGCCCTCATCAAGAGGCTCTGAACAAGCCTTTGCCAGCCTCAGTTTCCCTTCTGACCCATGGATCCAGTGCTCCCCTCCCAGGTATGTTGTGACACGCCGTGCAGTAGAAACATTAAAATGGCCCGCTGTGGTTTGAAATGGCGTGGATTCCTTTCCCGAGCATTCTCGAAAGCCACCTCTGGTCTTTCAAAGCAGAGAGAGCAAAGGCGGTGCTGGGGTGCTGGCTGGAGGGCAAATTCCGATTACTAATCTTCATTCTCGAAGCGTTCATAAATCTCAGCGAGCGTTTTATTGGATGGGTCTCCCAAAGGCTTTTTCGCCAGCATGTATATAAAGCAATAATCCTATTAAAAAGCCAACATCTGTCCGCATGAAAATCTATGCCAAAGAATTATGCTGAAAGGTCAGATTACGACAATCTCTTCAACGCTGTAAGAAATCACCCCCTTAAATAAACAATGGAAAGAATTGCTCAAAATTATTGTCTTCTCAAATATATGGGGGGAGGGAAAATTCCAACTGTTGTCTGCTTTTTAGAAAATTTGCCCACAGCATGACAAATATCTTACTTCTCAGGGGTGGCTGGGTGGGTAATCCTTCTCACATGTGACCTTTCACAAGGAACATCGTCGGGATACGGGAGCATACACACAAGTCAATTAAGCATTATTCATTTCTTAGTTTTAAAAAAAGTTCTCGTAAATTGGAACGAAGAATTTGAAATTGGCCTTTTTACAGGCAGGTTGGGGGAGAGACCACAATTCAGTTACATATTTGATGTCAGTTGAAGGAGAAGCGACCTCGGTGAAAGCCATTCAGTTTTAGAGCCTTAGACACATACAGCCGCACGCCTGCCACCATCTAGTGAGAAGTAAGCGAGGGAAATGATATTGTAGGATGGTCCCAATTCTCTCTGACAAATAAACCCAGCTTCGTAACCAAGCGGCCAAATTCTGTTCCAGATTCAGCCTGGATGATTAAATGCATCTCTGAATTTGCTTACAGCTATATTCGCTTGCGGCTACATTCGCTTATAGATCCTTAGAGTGAAAACTGGGCTGCATGATCAAGAAGCTGAAGGCCGTGTTGTGCTAACACAAGAGGCAAATGCACACACAGGATTCCTCGTGCAAAGGAACGGAGCCACGCATCCACAGAAGGGGCGTCACCACATTTCTCTATCAGCAGTTTACCAGCCATCAGCTTTTCCATCTCGCACCACCTCACTGCCTAAGCAGTGGGTCTACTTTGGCTCAATCGCCTGACCGACCTGGCTACCTGCTTTCCCCTCATCTGCCCAGAAAAGAGTCAAAACGGACCCATAACGTCCGTTCTTCTCTGATTCTGGCTCAGTCCCCTCTCTCGCTCACCACCATTCCCATTCCATCTTGCTCAAGTCGGTTATCGCTGTGCCTTTCCTCGTAACTTTGGGCGCAAACATATTGGTCTGAATCCGGAGGCAATCACCCATGAGGCCACCTCCTACCGGGGCCTGAATTCAATCTCCTCGCAGCTCTCAGCAGACTCATTCCAGGCATGGGTGAGGCTGAAGGCAAGAGGAGGGGGCTCCATGCACAAAGGGAGCCAGAACTCCAAAAATCAACATTGCGTGGCTTAAAGCACATACTGACAGCAACTGATTCTGTTTGTTTTCCCAGGTTATGAGTTGCCTTATAGCCAAAGCTCTCGGGGTGAAGTACATAATAAAAGCAGAACAGAATAAAGCCAATGATAATACCTTTACTAAAACACATAAAGAAGTATTATTTTTAAAGTATCGATATTTCAGCATTAAAATAACCAAGCAGCTACAAAGGGAGAATATTATGTGGAAATGTGCTTTTACACATATTGCAAACAGAGCTGAGAATCAATTGAGACGAGGCCTCTGTAGCGTTAGTAGGTGGTTTACCTACCTGGATGAGGGATATTCAGCCTGTTCTGCAGGGGGCTACAGTCCCCCACCCAACCTTCTGGGTGTTCCCTGTGTCACCTCCTTTCTCCCAAACAACCATAACATGGGTAATTTTCTGCAGAGTTTTTCTGCATTCCGAAAGGCTGAGGCGTCATTCCAGGTACATAATTACGGGCAGTAAGACCTCAACGGCGCTGCTTTGCTTGCAATGTCGGCTGTTCTCCTCTTGCCTCAGGCCCTGGGAGCCCCAAAAAGATTCTCCGCAAGCTCTTCCCAACCTGCAGCCTGTGATGGCTCAAGCCCAAGGAGTGATGGGCCACTGGAGCAAGAAATGGCTTGGGCCCGGCCTCCATGTGACAAAGCGGCCTCTGCCACGTTGGGGGCTGAATTAAGCGCGGTTCCTGTTTTGAACTTGGAGGTCTTTTTAACGTTTATAGTTTTTAACTATATGGACCCAACATACGACACCCAAAAGAAGGATTATTAGAGACACGTTCCAAATGGTTACATTCCAGTAATGTTGATTTTCAGAGATTTGAGGAAAGGAACAGAGGGCTTTTTGGACATGGTGAAATCGCTGACGAGGCTATCCTATAAACAATACATTTTTGATGGGAATTTCCTGTTTTTAAAAATATTGTTTGGAGTTGCCAAAGTAACTGTTTACTTCCAGAAGAGCTCCGCATTAGCAGAAGGGCATAATGAGTTACAGGAGGAGGCGTCCTGCTGGTACGTTATGCTGCTTCCTAGAGAAGTGAAGTTGTTTTCATATGGCTACATTTCAGCTCTGAGGCACAACCGCAGAATTAGGTCACGGTTTTGAAAGCCTTCTATATTTTTCAAAATTGAAATCAAGTGCTCTTGATCTGTTTGACTACCAGGGTCTCTCTCAAAGGAGGAGGAAATGTCTCAGGAATACAAGTTCTCTTTGAGTCACTAAGAAGAAGTCATGAAAGAGAGCGGGAAACTGGCAGCGCTGAGCACGCTGCATTCCTCTTACTGCCCTGCCGGTTTACAAAATGCACAGTCTGAATGACATGAAGCCGTGGCATGTGGGGGGCACTGCTTTGGCATCCGCACAACCTCCCTGTCACTCTTCCTTCCTGAGGGCCAAGCCAAGCAAAACAACATTTACACACGCAGGGGCGGCACTAATGCGTTAAGAAACAATGACATAATTCTTCACTGCCAATTTAAATCAAGCATCGTTGGGCTCAAGGTCTAGAAGTAGGATTCGCTTACCCTCCGAATTCAGCGTGATGAGGGTAACGTTGTTCCCGATATTCGGGCCACCCAACTGCCCACTGTTGGAGACAGAGTCACTGGCCTCGGAGCCGCTCTCTCCATCCTCGTTGTGACTATCTTCGTGTCCCGGGACTTTCACCACAATGGTGTTCTGCCTCCGCCCAGGCACAGCGCTGGAGAAGGAGGAAGACACACAGTTTTTATTTTATTTATTTTTTATTTATTTATTTGCGTTTATATACCACCCTAATAGCCCAGAGGGCTCTCTGGGTGGTTTACAAACATTAAAACCCACCAATTCTAAACAAATGAATAAATTGGCTATACCACGACAGTATAAAATAGCATAGTTAAAATGAATCAATTATATAAATATACCGTTAAAATTAATTAACTTTAACATATTGGTTAAATAAAAAGGTCTTGACCTGGCGCCGAAAAGTATATAATGACGGCGCCAGGCGGACCTCTCTAGGGAGCGCATTCCATAGTCGAGGCGCCACCGCAGAGAAGGCCCTCCTCTGAGTGCTCTGCCTCCTGGCCTCTTTCAAAGAGGGTTCCCGGAGGAGGAGGGCCTCTGCTGCCGATCTCAGGGGGTGGGAGGGCACGTAGGGAAAAAGCAACTTGGCGGATTTCAGTACGGTGAGACACAACACGGAGCTGATCGGCTGAATTGGTGTACGGTGCTATGGTCTGTGTATAGCAAGATGACATCCACATAGTATCTAGAGACCCTCACATGGAAGTTTGATTTGACCCCGAAGAAGAAAATGTCATATTGTAGGGACAGAGGGCTGAGCCTCTCTCCTGCCTGGAGTCCCAGTTCAGTCCTCCTCTGGGTCGCCCTTCCTTGGTCCGGTTCCCCCAGTCACCAAGTGTGTCGCGCTTTCCCAACTTTTCTGTAGTTTCTACTCAAGCTAAAAGGTAGACAAGGCTCTGCTCAGGTTTAGCTGTGAGCAGGAGTCTAAAGCAAAACTAGGGTGGCGTTTTTGGTGTTTCTGACTGTGCCCCTTCTCTCTTGCTAGGAAAAGTTGAAGAGGGGGAAAGAAAAGGAAGACCAAACATGTGGTGAATCGACTCCATAAAGGCAAAACTGGCTGGGGCTGAGGGAAGTCCATAATATCTGGAGGGAACCAGGCTGGAGGACGGTAATCTAAAGGGAGTGCCTTTAGACTGTCTTAACTGTTCATATGCACCCCCACTGATAAGAGGCAATTCCCCACTTTCCTCCCCTTCCAGTAAGATGCTCTGTTCTGAAATGAGAGAGAGAGAGAGAGAGAGAGAGAGAGAGAGAGAGAGAGAGAGAGGACCATTCAAGTCCCCTTCTTTCTTCCTTCCATGTGGTCAAAGTATTCTGTTGATTGGGGTCTCGTGTCCTATACATTTTTCCCACTAATGCCAAGAGGAGGGATCCATGCAGTCGCCTAGGACTTTAATCTCTCCTTGTCCATAATCCAGAGTTGCTTTCCTCCCAGGAACAACGAAGAATCCATGGCACCCCATCATCAGCACCTGGGAGAGGGCCTGCTTGGCATGGGGCAGGCCCAGGTTCGGCTCTAAGCCTCTCCAGATAGGAATGGAAAGCCCCCACCTGCGACCCCAGAGGGCCTCTGCCATCACTGCATCAGGCAGGTTCCTCTGAATGGGGTGGGGCTGGGGGCCAAGGGGAAAGTGCAAGAAAGAGAGAGAGAGAGAGAGAGAGAGAGAGAGAGAGAGAGAGAGAGAGATCGCAGAGGCTCCGTTTACTAACTTGCTAAGGATATTTTCCAGTGAATCCGCTGATCTGCTCAGGGGTTCGTCCTGTCCTACCATCTTGGCTACAATCGAGTTCTGACGATCATTGTTGAGTATTACTGTGGTTTGAGGAACAACGCTGTAAGGACGATAAACAACAAGAAATAAACAGAATGAAGGGGAGAAGAAGTTTGTCAGTCAGTCATTAACTTACTTTCGGTATGTCAAGATCATCCCTGGAAACAGCATTATGAGAACAGATTTTCGCAGCAAGGCAGGGCAGTGACCTGTTTGGTCTCTGGGCAGCTCACTGTGTGTTCAGCACCGAGGCCTGCAATCCCTCGTAGTTTGCTCAGTGCACCATTCCTAGAATCCATAATACTTTCAAAGCACAGACTGTGCTGGTAGAATTATGTAATGTCCTCTGACCTCTGGCAAAACGACCCAGAAACATTTTTTATCAACTCAAAGTAAACACCGTAAATATAAGAGGATTCTGCTGCTCAAAACCCAAGTAAGGACCATTTGATTTCTTACGCGGGTTAACTGACATTCTCTTTCCAACTCAGGAAGGGAGCCCGAATTGTGAGGTTATGAACAGGCAGAAAAGCGGGCAAGGAGGGTAGAGAAAAGCACTCGTGGGGTTGAGTTTCCAGTGCTAGAGGAATGGTGCTTCTCCTGCTCCCTGAAGTAATGCATGTGCACAATCCCAGAGAAGGAAATCAGTCCGGTGGCCAGGGGGATCTACAGCATTCCCTCTGCCAACCCAGCTTGCTCTGCCACGCAAAGCCAGTGACAACGGCTGGCTGCCATGGTTAACAAGCCTCCTAGGACCCATGGGCCACTGGAGGGTGCTGGGGTGGCTTGCTGGCCATGGTACAACGCCCGCCGTGCCAGGCTCACAGGACATGGCAAGCCAGACGTGCAAGGTCAATTCTGCAAATCCCAGCCGCCAGCATGTGGCAGGTGCTTCCACATTTCCCCCCTCTCCGTGACTGTGCAAGCAGAACAGTCTTCTCCACTCAAGTCAACAGAGTAGTTTCTGAGGATGCCTCCTCCTGCAGGCGCACCAGAAGGCCTTCAAGTGCCGTGGGCCCCGAGGGCCCTCTGCCAAGGACAGGCCTCTCCGCTCAGCTCCATACTCCCCCAAACTTTTCAGGTACTCCTTAACTCCCTTCATGCCTTATAAATGACATTTTGAACTTCCTCGGGGGCTTTTTACTGCCATTTCTTTGGACAGCTAATTCTTTATCACCCATATCCTTCAATATCAATAAACTCAGGATGCCTGTTTAAAAAGTGTCACTTACCAAGACTGTAATTTTAATGAACACTCCGAATAATTAATTGCAGCTATAGAGATAAATGCAATAAAATTAAGCTTCCATTTATGGAGACCTCGGGCTTTTGCTCATTCTGTATTTTCCTTTGAATAGAAAAATCTTTAAAAGGAAAATTGATATAAAATGGGAAAGTCCTCTCCTTTTTTTTAAAGAACTAATTCATTTTTGTAGACCATTTTAAAGTGTGCCTGATGGCATTTAATTAACTTAAAACAACTTAAAAATGAAAGGAAACGAAATGCCCTGATATAAGCCATTAGTAATTAATTTAACAACGCAAAGGGTTATGGATCCTCTGCACTGCGGAGAATTGGACTTTGCCACCGCGGTGCCAATCGCCCTCTGTTGCCACCGTCTGCTGTTCCCTTTCAAAGTGACACTGAAATAGGCCAAACGTTTTCTCCCCAGCTCAGTGAAATCTCTGGCAAAATGAACGTCTAGCAGGCAGGAGCTACGTGCAGGAGGCGATTCCCCTGCAGCTTCATGAGTACCAAGCCAAGTGCCAAGATTCAGGCCAGTATGGAGGCTCTGTGAACAGGGGAACTTCTGAATGTAGCCATTGATACGGCTTGTGCTGGATCCGTTAGGGGCCTAGAGGAACGCCTCCCTGCCGAAGTGCCTCCTCACGTACATCGCTTGAATGCACTATTCAAGGGGAGGTTGTGAGACGGGGCGGGCAGGCGCAGAGCATTCTGTACGTGCCGCCACTGGCACTGGCGTGGGCAGGTAGCGCGCGGTCCACGCTTTTGCAGGTGTGGCCAAGAGACGAGCGTTAGTGCAGGAGAGCCGAATTACTTCTGATTTTCACTTAGGGGGTGCAGTCAGGGCCAAAGGTCCACATGGCCGGCAAAGGCTGAGGGCCCGCGCCAAGCAGGGGCCCACCCAGGCCGCTGCGCTTCCTCTTCAGCACCGCAAACTGCCAGCCTGGACATAGGACAAGCACAAGTAGCCATGAGCTTTGGATAGGGACCCTTCCTCCTCCTCATGTGCCAGCTTTAGAGGCTTTCAAGTCTGGTCTGTAGCAAACCCACTGAGTGCCGCATTGGAACAAGATGGTTTGTACAAGCCAGAATCAAAAGCAGCGAATCACGGCTTGTCAGAGCAGGGGCAGGGAGGTAAGGAGAACAGTTGAGTGCGCGCGTCTCGGGGTTCTGCCAGCTCAAAGGGCTTCCACCTTGGGTTAGCATTAGGTCTGAATGCAGCCGCAGTCTAATTGCACAGGGCTCGATGCTTCTCTCTGCGAAGGCTTGATCAGCATCTGGTTGGCTCGCGCTCACAGAGTTGCAAAGTCTTTCATTCTATGAGTCAGACTCCTGTCACATTTCGTCTCCCTGCACGTATCATTGCAACATTTGATGGATACAGAGGATTTAACCCACAGGAGGAACGCAAGCATGTTTCTAAGCCATAAACACTACAGCAAAGGAACCACAAGTGCACCAGCTACAAACAAAGTGACTTATTTTCCACATGCGAGCAAAGCAAAAAAAATAACAACAACAATCTATTTGTTAAACAAAAACAAGCACACAGCTGAGGGTGTTAAAGAGGATTAATCCGTATCATGTTGTGCCTACTTAGAAAGAACAGCCTCCTTCAAACGGATGAGGATGCCGTGGAAGCAGGCTCTCTCTATATTGTAACAGGCCATAAAGCAGCCATAAACAAACATAAAATAATCTCTATTCCCCTGCAAAACAAGGAGGGGAAAGAGAAAGAAAAGAAGCTTCACTCCCAGACCGCATAGGGAGCTTTTTCTTTAAAAGCTAATTGCTGATGGGGAAAAAAGAAGACTCATTCTGCCAGTCAATCAGAAAACTTGTTATCTGAACCAACCTGCCTCAGCCAGTGACCCTTGGGTGTATTCTGCACGGCCGAAGCGGAAGCATCATGACACAGGCGGTAGCCAGCCCGGCTAGATCAAGGGGAAGGGATGGCCAACAACTGCTTGTGCCATAGACACTAACCGCACACAGTTTTAATTAAGCCATGCTCCTTAATCTAAACCATCATTCTGTTACGAAAGTAATATCCAAACTGTTATTGAAACCATTAATAAAGTTACCCTTTCTGGATTTCTCAGGCACTCATACGATGGCCCCTGTTCTGAAGGCGGGGGGGGGGGTGTTTGCACTTCCCAAGTAAGTTCCTGCCAGAGGTGACTTCTAAGATGGAAAGTGTGCATGACTCACATCCATCACCATTAGCTGCACGCTTTTCTTGGCCAATAACCTGTCACTCATCCAGAAGGTGGCCAGTAAAAAAAAGAGGGGGGGGGGGGGGGGGGGCTTTTGGAATCCTTCAAGCTGCATAACTCTCCTCCTCTTTGGATGACTTTGCTAGCTTGAAGCAAAGAGGAAAAGAAAAACACAAGGAATCGGCTGACATTTCACCTCCCCTGACGTAAACGTTCAAAGACGTCGGGCCAGGTAGATGTTACAGAAAAACAAATTATGGAACAACTCATACAGGAACCTTTTGGGCAAGGGTTGACTCTTCTCATAGCTTTGGACCATGGACTATTTATAGAAAAATTCCACCGGGTGAAGGAGGCAAGGGAGGGGCGGGTTGACTCCCGGGACTCAGCTTTTAGCTGCTTCTTTGTTCCGGCTTTGTACACAGGGTCCCATATGCCGAACTGTGAGTAGACATTTAACTTATTTCTTAAATATGGCTGACAGTACTGCAAGGACTTCTCAGAAGTCAGAATTAAAGATCAGCAGTGAGGCCATGTCATCACATGTTCGGCAAACAACCCATCCATTCCACAGTAGTCCAGCTTTTCCCAAGTCACATGGATTCTGCTGGACTTTCTGGAATATTACACAATTTTAGGCAGAGAAATAAAGCATGGAGATGCACATATTTGTGTGGGTGGGGTGGGGAGTCCTGCATTTTCAGAAATACTAATTTGCGCAAGCATATGGAAAGTCATTTGTGCAAAATCCAGTGCGATCAATGAGCAGACAAAGGAGCAACATATGCCTGGAAATCCAGGAAACAGACAGAATGGATTTAACAGCGATCAAACGTTCCTACCTCGGTATTTATTTCCAAACGGGTGCCTTGCATCAACGCTCATACGGAGGCAAGGCATATGAGTGCTGCAAGCAGGAAATCAGTCCTTTCCGGAAGAAAGGCCCTCATCCAGCCCTCGTCCAAGGCTGAGCACATTCCCCTTAAGAATCTTTACGCATAGGGTTCAGTGATCAGGACGAAGGGATGCGGCCTGGAGGTTGGACTGGGACCCAAACAGGGCAGAATTAGGGCCTCGGTCCCAAAGTTCTGATTTGGTTTTGAAGGAAAATGACCATGCGGGGGGCACTGAAGCATCACCCAGCTTTGGAGGCAGCTGCAGCAGCTTGGGCACTGCATGGAGGTGGCAAGGCCGCGAGGGAAGGTCGTAGGAGGTGGGGGCATGATGCCCCCCCCCACCGTATACAAACAGACAATACTTCAGGTGCAAGCACATAATCTCACCTGCAAAAGCGCTTCTGCCCAATCCTTCAAAAGCTAAAGCGCAAGCGGTAAAGCAAAGGAAAACATGCCCTCAGCCAACTGGCACACACAAACCAGGCTCCCCTCCCCCCTGCCACCTATCCAAATGCAACTCTTTGATTTCATAGCTAGAAAATTCTTTTTTGCGTCCCTAGCGTCTGGAGCATCGCGACAAGCCAGCCAGACATGAGAGTGACGGCCTTTGTGACCATTAAGCTCTTCATGGTCCAAAGCCAAAAATACCAGCCATCCTTTCAATGTGACTCACGGGCTTAAAAGATTTATGAAATTGTGGGCA